ATGAGCAGAACGATTGTTCAGCTGTGCGTGCAGATCTCAGAAGCTTCAGACCCAGCACATGCCAGATGTAGCCCAGCCCTGAATTTTCCTTGGAAGCAGACAACAAAGCCCATTTTTGAGCAACATGTAGCATTTCTATCTCTTTCTCCCACCACCTCTATCTATTTCTAGGTCAATATACATTTCGATATAAAAATATATTTTGCATATACTTGTATTCCCAACTAGTACTAAGTATTGCTTGCTTTTATTATAATTTTAAAAACCCACAAACTCCTTTTCTGAGAGAAAAATGTCTTTTCTTATTTATGCCTGGGTACTGTATTTTCTGCACTTAACCAGTGCAATGTGAAACTCACGCCGGACTTTCCTTCAGGAGAAAGATAGTCTTTCTAGATAAATGGTTGTTTGCAGAGTATTCAGACCAGGGTTTCGAGGGACCCAGCAGCCTGGAGAGACGCCGCGGTGGCCTAGTGGGCTGCATATTTGGTCCCTAACCGCCCGGCCAGCAGTTGGAAGCCACCAGCAGCAATTCCGGAGATAGATGGGCCTCTTTGCTCTTGTGATGATCTCCAGCCTCAGAAACCCACAGAGGCAGGTCGACTCTCTCCTACAGGGTCACTGAGTAAGAATCAAAAGCAGTGCATTTAGGTCTACCTGAGAGCAGGTGGCGATTCCAAAACTGCAGAAGAAATAAAGGGATGCTCCCGAGTCCGTCTTTTGTTGATGTTCTGAAGAAGCAGCTGTGCTTTTCCAACCCTGGTAGGTTTACAAACAGCAGCCTATGAAGGGCTCGTTAAGCACGTCTAGTGCCTGGAGCGGCTTTTCCACACCTTTGTGGGCAGCAGTTTGAAAACCAAGGGACCCACATTCTGCTGATGTGACCGGATGCCATCCCTCACAGTCTCATCATGATTCGGGTGCCAAGTCAGCCCTGTATGATTTTGCCTCGCATCTTAGAGGACTGTGGATGATGCCAGGGGCTTACGTGGAAAACAAATGTTTTGAGAATGATGAGGGTAATGACTGCACAAATATGCTTGATACAATGGATGGATGGATGGATTGTGATAAGAGTTTTATGAGCCCCCAGTAAAATGATTGAAAAAAAGAAAGTGAAAGGCTCCCACAATCCGCAGGGCTGCTGGTGGCAGCTGTGTCTATTCTGACTGGCACATCTTCCTGGGTGCAAAGGAGAACTACTCCCTACGGTTCCCAGGGCATAATCTGCATAGAAGTTGATTACCCTATCTTTCTCCCTGGGGCCGCTGGAAGGTTTGAACCATTGACTTTTTGGTTAGGAACCCAGTACTTAGCCACTGGGCCCACAAGGTCCTTTCAGGTAGGAGTTGAGTGTTGAGCCATTTGTTCTATCCTGGGACTCCCTCTCTGCAAGTGGTGGTGG